ATTTTGCTTCCTTCCAGTGTTTTAACTGAAGGGAACAGAGGAAGAAAAGTACAGCCAAAGTCTCATAGTGTCCTAGCAAATGTGCCAACCAGGGGTGTGGCACACATATTCTTTACAGTCTCCATAACCACAAAGATCATACAGCCAGAATTTAGTAGCAAGCCACTAAATAGTAGCTGTTCAATTTCCTGCCAATTTTCAGCAGGAAGTGAAATATAGTAAGTCAAGCAAAATGCTTATATGCTTAATCCACCTCTAAAATATAAAAGGTAATCCATCAAAAAGCATATCTAAAATTTTAGGCTTATTTCTGCTAAAGTTATGGAACATTGCTTACAGCACTCTATAATTGAAAAAGAGTTATTTGTGCTTAATCTGGATGCATGCAATATAAAAGTGGAGAATTAAAAAATAAATGCCGGACCAGGGGTGTTAAACGTGCGGCGTCACATGATGTATCGCAACTTTCCCCCCTTCCCTAAACATGGGCTGGCCAGCATGTGACGCATCCAGCCCGCAGGCTGTGAGTTTGACAGCCCTGTGCTAGACCCTTAAATAGCCATCAATGATGAGCATTAAGAAAGGAATTGTGCTGTCTTTTTTATAGGTGAACTTTTACAACGATCATACCAAGGTGATCTTCAGCAAACCTGACCACTCCTGCCTCCTTACCTACATAAACCGTGATAGGAATTCTTATACTTATAAGATGAGCAGCATTGCAGAACTGGGCTGTTCCCCAGAACTTCAACGTCGGCTCAAGTATATTCTCAAACTACTGCTACAGCGAGCAGATGCTTAAGGCTGCAAGTGGAGTAATCTCACCAGAACATCCCATTACTCCAAGGATGGATATGTTAATAGCATAAAGGATGGCAAACTCTAGGCATCCACAGTTGAAAGCATTTCGATGTCTAATTTTCTAGAAAGGAAAACTTCAAATCTGCACACATGTAGCTCCAAGCCACTCCTCAGGATTCATCCACTTCTGGATCCCTTTCCATCATTGTGTTTCTTGTTTTTTTTAAAAAAATGGCTTGATGTGAATGCTTCGGTTCACAGACTAATGGTGTAGGGATAGATGCCTTAAGTTTTATGTCTGTGCAATTGTTGCACAATTGATTATGCACATGGTGTCACTGGATAGAAAGGAAGGAGAAATTACGCTCCATACACTATATACAGGGAACAGTACAGGGTAAGGAAAATACAAATATTTTTTTATGATGGTTTCTAGGCTTTTGGTCTAATGCCTGATAGCAGATATTTGGTATGGAAAGTGGTGTACCAGAGCCTGATAGAGGAGTAAAATATAGAAATTGGTGGCTTATGTGTTGTCTCAAGTCCTTGCAACACTACCATCGTCTGCTCAGGAAACTGGCATTGCACCACTGGGAGTTGCATTACTACCCAAGCTTCACTTGGCTCTGACTCATGGACCAAAGCTGTGAATTGGGTGTGGCTATCTAGAGAAGAAAAGGCTTATGCAAGGAAGTAGTTGTGGCATGGCCGACTTCTCTACTATGAAAGCAGATAAACAGCTTCTTGTGCCAGCTGTAATATAGTTCTAAACAATAATGCATGAGCCACTCTAGTTGGCTAGAGTGCGAATTGCCTGTCCTCTGGAATTGGTAAAGAAGAACTCCTCCAAATTTGGAAGGACTAGTTAGTGGCGAGAGTTGAATGTTCGGCCTTAAAATCTGGATTAATTCAGGCTTTTAGTGTTATTGCGAAGCACTTGAAGCTATGAAGGGACATGTTGGGTAATATAACTGTTACACTAATTAAGCAAATGGGACTCCTTTTTGCTGAAACTGTGACCTGTTTGCTCCAATTTCTTAGCTGCTTTTCAGTCCAGGGTATCTCACAAATTGGTACAGACTTGAACTGCTTAAAAAGAAGCTACCCACTTGAAGTTTTGAACCTGACAGACTGTTCAGCTATGGGGCCTACATGGTGTGAACATCAAAAAAGAACTTTATTTATGTATTTATGCCAACTATTTATTTTGCACATGTGTTCTATCAATCACGCACACCATATTTCCCCAAATGCAGCAGTTTGATTATAATAAACACATTTTTAATAAAAGCAGGGAGAAATGCTTTTTTGTGTCCAAAACAGTGTCTTGTGGGAACCAGTTGACTCTGGAACTTGGAGTAAGGCAGCTAACCACACAAATTTCTTTAGAGCAGTAATTTAAGCACTGACATGCTACAATATGCTGTATCCTCTTCACAATAAGAAAAGTTATTTTACACCAGTATTTTGATACAGAGAAACTGACAAAACAAATATCTGAGTGGTAGACAGATTTGGTGTTCTGTGCTTCCAACTAGTTTTCAGGCTTCTGGAATTCTGTTGCCTATTTAGAGAGGCTAACAACAGACATTTATTGTTTATTGTTTGCAGTGTATTCAATTTTATACAGCACATCTTGCAAGATGCCAGTTTATAGCCAATTCCTATGAACAGTCTAACAGAAAAATATCTGTATTATCAAACTCAGGCCACTGGATAAAATCCCAGATGAAAAACTCGATAACAGCATTAAAATTCAAAAGCTAACCTGAGCAAGATTATTTTAACCATTTTGTGGAAGGCTGGCTATGAGTGGCCAGCTAACAGCCAGAGCCAAGTGTGTGGTCAATCTGGAGAAATCCCAGTCTCCTGAGCTTCTTGAGTTTGTCTGGCAACGTGTCATGTGAGGAATTTAGGTGATCAATTACTTTATTATTAGGCTCTTGCCCTGTTATGTAAACACACTGGAGATTCTTGTCCCCTTTCTGAATAATTTTTATTTAACATTCTTTACATACGCATTTAACAAAATGATCTTCACACTTTAAAGCAAGAAGCAAGCTCAAAGAAGGCAATTATGAAAAGGAAAAATTCTTACATTTAACACTGATCAATAGGCACTGATTTACTAACACTAATATAATCAATACAATATGTTATTGTGAACTATATCAAAATCTCTGCCATGGAAACACACACAGCTGCATCTTTTGATTGGTAGGAAATTCTACATTTTCTAAAACAGATCACATATTTTGGGGTCAAAATATTCTCCAAAGCACCAGAGGGCAGGACAAGAAACACTGGTTGAAAACTAATTAAAGAGAAAATCAACCTGGAATTAAGGAGAAACTTCCTATCAGTGAGGACAATCAGTGGAACAGCTTGCCTTTAGAAATCGTGGGTGTGCCATCATGGATGTTCTAAGAGACTAGACAGTCAATTATCTGAAATGGTATAGGTTCTCCTTGAGCAGGGGGCTGGGCTAGAAGACCTCCAAGGTCCCTTCCAGCTCATTCTGTTTATTCATTTCTGACAACCACTCAATATCTGAAATAATGTTTCCACTTTCTCAATATGATTCTTTTAGTCACCTTCCATTCTTGGTACAATCATAATTCCTGATGAACAGATTCTAAAGCTTAGTACAACATCACAATAACATCTTTATCATGAAGATTTTCCATTCAAGCCTACAAGCGTACATTATTTTTTTCCCTTTTTTGTTCAATCATGTGCAACATTCAGACTACCTGGACAAGTCCCTGAAATTTTTTTGGCAAGTTTTAGAGAAGTGGTTTTGACACTGCCTCCTTCCTACATCAGAGAATGTGACTGGCCCAAGGTCAGCCAGCTGGCTTCGTGCCCAATAAGCTTTTCCATTTTCAAATGAACACATGGCCCTATCCCATGGGTTAATGAAACCACATTTTTACACCTCCAACACTGAAAACCTGATGTCCAACCTTTCAGATATTTGAAAGATACTTTGAGATACTTATACCGTTTCCTAATCTCTTATTCTTTACTGTTATCTGAGTAGAGTGGAACTATTTGGGTATCTTTATGAATAACCAGAATAGTTTTTTATACACTTGATACTTTGCAACTCAGAAGGCAGATATTATAGACCTAGAATATCTGATGGGTTCTGGCTTTAATGTAGAATGTTAATATTTTTATCAGTATTTATCACTCAGTTGTGTGTTTGACGTAACGCATGACAAAATGCGCACAGTAACCTACATTCTAATATGCAATGTAAACTATTCTATCAACGGAGAATTAAAAAAACTTCTAGCAATAGCAAAGATACTTTAAACAATTGTAGGTGTTTAAGTTCTGTGAAAATAAACAGGTTTAATTAAGTTTAATTACTTTAAAAATTTAATTATAGTTAAAAGATAAGAGACCATGGTGAGCCTTTCATAGGAAATTATGCCAAGGGCAAGTTGATAGCATGAACTGGTCTATATAAGATCTGAGATGAAAAAGGGATGTGTTTTTTTATGGTAAAGTGGTCTTAGCCCTTATAGACTTAGAGATTAAAATGTGCCATCAGTTAGAATGGAAAGCAGTACAGTGGCAAGGCAGAATCTTACTTCCATTTTTGGTAACATTCCTTGGTAACTAAAATCCCTTCCCAGTACTAGAACAGGATTGGGTATATACCTGCAATTACTATAGCCAAAGACAAGGTTACATTGGCTACTGTTGGTATTCTATTTCCACTATCTCTTTTATTTTACCTGTTTTCTATTTTCAAGATCTTCTTTCACTAGTCTATCAGGTGGGGTGAAGTAATTTTATATAGGGTAATCCATATATAACATCTTCAGCATTACATCCAGCATGTTTATTTCTAGTTGATAGGTGCTAATACTTTGGATATCATTACCCCCATTTAGCAAAATTGACAGAGATGACAAATTCATATTCATATCCCCTCGCACAGAGGCGTTAGTTGTTCCTGACTCTAGGGAGAAAACATCTCTGTTTTAAAGCTGAAGAGCCATCATTGTCAGATGTCTCTGTGGTCATGTGGCTGGCATGACTAAATGCTGAAGGTACATGGAACGCTGTTATCTTCCCACCAAAGGTCCCTATTTTTCTACTTGCATTTTTACATGCTTTCAAACTGCTAGGTTGGCAGAAGCTGGGACAAGTAACGGGAGCTCACTCTGTTACATAGCGCTAGGAATTCGAATCACTGAACTGCCGACCTTTCTGATCAACAAGCTCAGTGTCTTAGCCACTGAGCCTTGTTTTGATCCATAGCTTTCCCTAAATTAGTGTTCATCCAATGTGTTAAAGCATAACTCCCATTATTATTAATATTTGGATATATTGTACTTTTTAATTCAAAGCAGTAAAGCTAATCAGTTAAAATATACCTTTTCAAGAGTTAAGTCAAGAATGTGTTTGGGATTCCCCACACTGGTGTTTACAGTATTAGATTTTTGACCTCAATGGAAAATATTACATTGACATAAAATGCAGTGAGAAGAAAGTGTGCTTCCATGTCTCAAACCTTCTCAAGGTTTTTAAAAGTCTTGGCGCATGCAGAGGCTTTTGATATTTTGGTCTTTCACTTGCAATATATGTCTCAAACCCAGCAAATACTTCTACAGCCATATTATGGGCACCTTTAGCATAATCTGCTTTTGAAATATCCTCTTTCTTCAAGGAAGAGCAATGGGTTTATTTTTCTTCCCAAAAAGAAAGTTACATAATCTTTTGTACAAGCAAAGGCGTAAGTAATACTGTAGAACCAAACAATTCTATCTGCCAATAGAACAAAAGAATCCTTAAGAAGATATGTTGACCACTAGTTCCCACTGGGGCAGATTTCCTAGTTTTATCCTTTGCTGCTCTATGATTTTAGCACATATAAATATTCTTACTTTAAACTATGTCCAGATACATCCCCAGTTCTGACCGATCTTAATCTCTAGCAAGATAAAATTAGGAGAGAAGGAAGTTAATCTTTAGAAGCCTTATTCATTCATAATATAATCCATGAACTGTGACTACAGCAAAAAGCGATGAATTTGTGTAAGTGGCTGAAGCAAAGCTATCATTCGCCACATCCCAGAGGGACCGACTAGCAATGTGCAACCCTTGGTTGGCCAACTGGCCCAGAAAGACATTACACACAAGTTTGTAGCGTGGTGGGGTTAGATCTTTGACCCTGCTCCTGACAAGGTCTGACAAGTTTTGGACCAACTGCCCACTATTTGCAGGATTATATTTGACATCACTGAAGAAGCTGGCCAGAACGGACTCAAGAATCTGCTGTGTGTGCGAGGAATTAAATCTGCAATCTTTATCTGGCTGGGTCTTATAGGTGTTCTCATAGTGTATCTCCTGAATGGGTTCAAAGAGCGGTAGCCCAGAAAAACTCACTCGCCCACAATGCATCCAGGGTCCAATAGAAAGGCGCCTTCCTCCAGCAGCCAATGAATTTCTTCTACTCAAAAACGGGGCATTAAGGATGCTCATAATGGAGCTTCTCCGGGATGGTGGGAAGGGAGCTTTTCCTTCAATACTCTGCAAAGGCAGTAATGGTCTGGGTGCCATATCTGTAGGCTGGGAGCTCTGGTGGAGAGGTAGTGATCCTCTCTTTGGATGGGTGGAATCACTGTCTTCTGAAGCCATTGCCTAATTGAATGTTTTCTGGGATTTACCAGAGGCCAATCTACCATACATCAGCAGTAAAATCCTAGAAAAGAAAAGAGTCACAAAGTTACAAATAATTCCTTGCTGGAACCTATTTTCCCAGCACCCATTCTTCTTTGTATATGTAGGCATCAATATATATTATTAATTATATTAGATGTAGTAACTTCTTTTGTGGATTTTTTTTTTGCTATAAGATATGTCCATTAATAAAACTGAAGGGATTATTGTTACATCTTCTCCTATTATTAGATTTATTTATATATTTATTATTAGTCACCCAACTCCACTGGACTGAATATTTTGAAAAGAGCGCCAGATAAAGCAAATATGCTTCCCAAAATCTTGACTTTATTTTCATATATAAAATTTACATTTCAAAATGAAATTATGTAATATACTGATTTGTTCATATGTATGTCCCTTTATACTATCTTGGTAATTCTTGGTGTTCTAATTCTCTATTGCCTGCCTGCATGCATGCATGCCTATCATTATCATCTCCATCTATCTATCTACCTGTCTACCTATCTATCATCTATCTATCAAATTAGAATAGGGTTAGATTTATATTATTTCATTTTTCAAAAAAATATACCCCCCAAAGAGTATGATTTCCATATTTAAATACTACTTTTCCTAGCCCAATAATGTTGCTCTTCAATTGCCTACAATCATGTATTTACATTGATTTCAAGGACTAGATTTACCTCTCATTTTAGCCCCTCACTGCCTCTTTCTTATTTTCTCCTTTCAGCCTCTCTGTTCTATATCTCTGTCCTCATTGTATTGCAGGTTCTAAGCGTCTATATGGACAATCCCTGTGACTCCAAATGCTATCTGAAGAATGTTTATGATTAAAAAATAAAACAAGCCTGGAATAAAAAGGTATTGCTAAAATCATAAAGCCAGTGAGAAAAGAATAACAGCCAAATATTTGATGAGCTTCCTTTATTTATTTTTTGTTCAATTTGGTTGATAAAAACCAAATAAAAACCAAATAAAAGAAATCAAGAATGCATCATCACTCTTGTAGCAATAACCATCATTGCCATATAGAAATTAGTAAAGTCTTAATGTTGCCAATATTCTTTAAAATTCAATTTTAAATTATTCTAAAGACTAATATTCATAATAATACTGGCATATATATTTTAAATATTCTGTTTTCTTGTAGATAGAATGGATTAATAATTTAAATAAATTCTGTTGATACTATGAATTACTATTTTTTTTGCAATTAGGGAATATTATCTTGATCACCTAATGCAAATTGATGTATTTTTAAATTATCCTCAATGCTTTTATATTCAATAATTGGAAATGATAAATAACAATAAAGGATTATTTTCCACTCTAGATATTTTAGTAGAAAAATTTTCAAATACCTTCTCTGTTCCTTATTTATCTACCCATTTTAGCTTGGAATCACTAACCTGCCTTTTGTAGCCAAGCATGCTTTCTCTTTCTCTGTTTTTAAACAGTCTTTGGATGGGTGGAAAAAATTGCAAGCAATCTATATGACTGTTGTTTCAATCAATAATCAACAATGGAATGATTAAAACTTCCTTGATGATAATGCATTAAGATTCATTGATCATACAGGCACACAGTAGATGAATTCCATAGCACGCAAGAAAATCAGTAACAGAATAGCTGGGTGATAGTATCCTCTTGTTTTCCGAGGCGTGTTTTTCCAAGCACCCCAAGAGAAGTCATTCTTTTGCATTATTCTGAAACTATAGAAAGCTGAGTTTGGGTCCCTTCTTCCTTCCCTCGGGGGAAAACTATTGTCAGGTCTATGTAGGGCTAAAAGAAGGTTGACCAGTTTGCAGCTCAATATGCTGTGTAAACATACACAATGTTAATTTGTTAGTCTGTCACAGGAATTCAAGTTGTCAGCTTAGTACCGTACATAATGGAACTATGATTCAGCTAATCATAGGTTAGTATGGTATGCAAGCATCATCTTATTCTAGCTGTTTCCTGTGATTTAATTATTTATATTGTATTTTTGGCTGCTAACCATCCTGAGTACCCTATGGATAAAAAGGCAGTGTATATACTAAAATAATAAGAAACATACCTGGAAACAATACAGGCTAGTAGGCTTCCTGGCAGGTGAGCTTTCCTGGATCTAAGACCTAAGCAGATTGCAAAGGCTTTTAATACTGTTATCTTGTTAAAGCTTGCTTGGGCTTGTTGCACAAACCTGCTGCAGCCCTTACTACCCTGTCTTAATAAGTTTCTCCCTTGGCCATGGTAAATCATTGGCTCTTTAAAGTGACAGTTCAATGGGAAAGCCATCCAAAGGGCTGCAGTAGGGCTGGGCAACCTGCCATCTGAAATGCGTGATCCCCATGGAGACAGTATCATGTACAATATTTTTGTACAGACTGGTGTGCATGAAAAGGAACATTAATACCTCTCTGCATCTTGATGGCTTCTGAGTTCCAGTAAAAGGATCTGGATCTGGACAAGTGACTCTTTAAGGACTAGTTCAAGCTAGAGTCCCCTTTTGGCAGGCTTCCCCGGAGTTGCTTATTTTACTTCAGAAGTTTGTCTTCTGAACTTGAAGCAGTATTTTCATAGCTGCAGAATGTTGATGAGCCAAACCAGATTTAATGTGCACATGTCCTTATATAGGCGTCCTCTTAACTGATTATTTAAAAAAAAATCAAAATATGGCCACAGGTTTGTGAAATGTATCCTTAGTTTAAATGGATTTTCCAGTTTTATAAACTAGAAAGGATGTATTTTGATACTGCAGCTTTAACTATTCAGTGAGTTTTACTCATAGTATTCTTTTCAGATGAACCCAATTAGTTTACAAGCTTAATAGATTATTTTAAAATGATTCCTCTCTGAATTCTCTAAGTGTCTCAAAAAGAAATTCTTTCGTTAGCAAATCTCCAGTAGGGGGCGTAGAAGGTAAAGGCTGTGACTTCATGCCAAATGCATGAGGTGTATTGCTAAAAGGACGTCTCCCCGACTTTGATTTTGGTGCCATTATTTCAGACAATTAGTCAAGAATTACTCGAACTCTGCTGGCCCGTTATGTAACTTGCAAGAGAAGAAAGTGTTGAGTCCCCCCTTTATTTGTTCATAAAGGTTTTTCAAAAGATTTCAAAAAAGAGCGTTGTAACAAAGCACGTCTCAAAAAGAATTAGCATTGTAGTGTAACAGTTCATATTCATCTGTGTTTAAAATATCTCTATATTAACAAGGA